TTACTTTACTTCTTTCTTTCTTCTCTCTCTCTCTCTCTCTCTCTCTCTCTCTCTCTCTCTCTCTCTCTCTCTCTCTCTCTCACTTCATCCCCGGGACGAAAACGGTGCGACCAATCGCGTGTCCGAGACACCGCCGGGCGATTTTACGTCGCAATTTCGACAACGGACCACGACGCATAATTGTTCTTCCTCCCTCTCGCGAATCGCTTTGCACACGCATTTACGGCTATTTACGCAAATGTGCACGCACTCGCTCGCTCTCGCTTTGCTCACTCACTCACGGCTTCATAGTTGTACATACATGTTGCTATTTTAATAATGCGCCCTCGCGACAGAAAAAACGGAAAAAAAACGGATCTATTTTACGTACAGATAGACATCACGTGCGTGGATCGAGAATCCCGGAGCTTCTCACCCATGGGAATAAACTCCCGTCCGATCAAACGGGAATGATTACGGCGGAAAAATACTGGATTTCTCGAATGCTGGACTAGTGTGGATTTACGATGTGAACGAAGCGATAACAAAAAATTTTGAATGATAACGTTTCTACGAGCTCCGAGATCCACGATTTTTGCGTCACCCTGCGACAGGGTTGCAATGGCAGGAGTACTGCTCCGACATTAACCGGACAAAGTAGTAGTAATAGTAGTAATAGTAGTAGTAGTAGTAGTAGCGGCTGTACGGAATGTACAGGTTTTATTATACTGTATAATATATCGCAATTGTGTTCCCTGTGTGTGTAATGCATTGCAAAACGATGAGGTAGTACTGTCATACTTTTGGCAGAGTTAATGCGCGCGCGTGCGCGACGAGTGCTCACGTATTTGGCATTGGTTGACGGTATTAAAATGGTATTAAGGATAAGAAAAACGAAAAAAAGGAAGGAAAGGAAAGCAAAAGGAAAAATGAAAAGAAAAAAGAAATGGATTCCCCCTCAGCCTCTATCCCGTGTACTATTGTATCCCGTGCTCGCGCACGACGCGCTTTAAATACTAAATATTTCTCTATATCGTCTCTATTGTCTCTGATAACTTACGGTAGGCGGGTATCGTTGTGAGAATAACCGTTTAAAACTTTCTGACAAAAAAAAAAAGAAAAAAAAACGGAAAAAAACGAAAGGGAGAACAAATAAAAAAGAAAAAAAAAACGGAAAAAAATAAGGCAGATTAATCTGTACAAAGTGTAAATACTGTAACAAGTAATATCGTGGGTGCCATCCTGACTAGGAGTATATCTCTATATATCTATACATATAGGTAATGTGTAATATAAATCTATTGCATTGATCACATCTCATACAACCGGGATAGCAACTATTTCGCGCGTAAATCCACGCGCACGACTGTTTCTCACGTGTGTGATCGACGGCTATACTATATATTCACGGTACGCGACTATTGCTCCGGACAAAAGTCCGCATTTTAAACATTGTAAACAGGTAACAAAGTGGTAGTGATTCAGTTTCGCCGCGTGACGCCGCCGCCATGCCGCCGCGTCGAATTTCCGTGGCGAATGCGCTCGCTTCTCTCTCTTCCTCTCGGAAAGATCGACGTCGACGTTTACGATGTGTATAAACGTGATTATTGCTCGGTCGACTTGTTCTACTTGTTCTCTCTATGTGCGCGCATTCGCCAAGAAGTATCTTTGCGCGCGGGCAAGCTGCGAGCTCTTCCGCGGCCAAAATCGCACGACAGTCATCCGCCGTAGAATCGCAATATAATCTCGTAAACGTTATATAAAATCGTAACTGTATAAAAGATGTGTACTTTGTCGGGTGTCGTCTCGGCGCGATTTCAGATATGTGTATGTATGTGTATGTATGGTGTCTGTCCCACCGCGATTATTATTACTATTATTATTCTTATCATTATTATAAAATAGTGGAGTGCGTGTTGTGTACGCGCGGGTGTACGAAAAAAGGCGAAACTGAAAATTGACTGTGTGTGATTACTCCAGAGTAGAAAAGCGTCTTGTCTTTGGCACTGGTGCGCGCGTAATGTAACGTTTTGGATGGATATCGCCCGTCGGAGCGTCCTGTAGGCTCGACTTCTCAATAGCGATAAGTAGTACCAGAAATAGGTAAACCGGTTAACGGCGTTTAACGATTAAAATGCGACGGCGAGTAATCCGATTTAATGGTAATGTTGAACTATCAAAAGGCAGAGTGTTCTTCTCTTGGCGCCCTGTGTGTGTGTGTGTGTGTGTGTGTGTGTGTGTGTGTGTGTGTGTGTGTGTTC